AACGTCTTTCTCTCTTCTCTTCTCTTCTCTCACCCTCTCCCTCTCCCTCTCCCTCTCTCTCTCTTCCTCTGTCTTGCTTTCTTCCCTTTTCCTATCTCTTAGTACGGTCTGTCCATTCATAATCACAACAAGTGAGACAAAAATGTGTAAAAAAAAAAAATTAATATCAAAAGAAAAAATTTGAGAAAAATATATTTTTTTTTTTTTGCTTACAGGTTTGCTTGTGAAGTGATAGAGATTTCCGGATAACAGCTGCCTTATTTTATTTGGAAGGATTACATAAGCATTTCTCTAACCCAAGCTATAAACAACTGGATTAGTGAAGGCATTGTTTTTACTATAATTCAATTTAATCCGATACTGTCTGTCACTTTTTGTATGCTACTGTCTGTATGCTATGATCGAGCGGGAATCATATTGACCTTCCATCTATCAGGACCCAAAAACAAATCTTTTCTTTCTCGCAAAAAATGAAGATATTTTCAGGAAATTATGATCGTTTGCTAATGCTTTAAGACTGAAAAATATTTTTGTATACTGTTCACATCAACTTTGCTGTTTGCTTCTGATTGATATGCTTTCCCATAATGTCACATGTTAATCCTTAGACTTAAGTTCGCTTCTTAATATTGTAAACTTAAAAATATTGTAAAAAAATCTATTTATCTTAAGCTTTTCTGTAATTTTCATCAATAATCTCTCTCTAGAATATCGTAACTTGAGCCTTTAATCTTAAGGGTGTTGCTTAATTCGGAATGAGCGTATGCTATAAGCCAAAATGAATATATAAAATCAGAAAAGCAGAAAAACTTCCCCCTTTTCCACGACTCCTTCTATGAAAAAGATTATACTAAATACTTTCCGATTTCATAAGTATTGTGAATTTGTTTTTAATCTCATTCGGATCTATACAGATATCTTTATTGGTTTACGTTTAAAAAAATATAGTCAATGCACACTGTCGTTCAAATATGCTAAAGGCTTCTAAATGATGCAAACTTTCCAAACAATTTCAGTCGACAGAAGCTTCAACTATGAAAAGGAAGAAGAACTTGTACATCTGCTAGCCTCTCTGAGTCCAATAATTAGCAAATTGTTGGGCGTTATGATTGACTTCAAAGGAGAATGCTGGTCTTGAAAGCGAATCGAACTGTAAATCAATATCAAAACTAATTATTGGAGTAATCGTCTAATGTAACCATCACTACGCAAACAACTTTTACAAATATTTTCATTAGTCTCTCATTATCTTATTGGAGCAACGCGAACATCTACTGTTTTCAGCAGCTGTAGAAACTTGCAGTCAGCAACAACAGAAAAAAGAAAGAAGAAGCTTCATTCCCATTAAACAGTACTTAGGGATGCTTGGCAGATCTCAAGTCAGATCGCATAAAGTGGGTAAAGTAGAAACACAGAAAACAACTCCACTCAGCTCGAATCAAATTAACAAGAACACTTTTTAAGAAAGAATATTTGCTTGGAAACCAATCTTTTAACGGGCACTGATGGTCTTTTCCCCTTTTTGTACAGATTCTGTAAGATCATGGACATACTAATTAAGGAAGTTTTAAAAGTTGCTATAGCTTATGGCAACAATCAATTTTGATATCGACTATCAAACGTTTTTGAGTGAGGAGAACGGCCTTGAACGCAAAATTGCCAAAAGTTTTAGAAATTATTACAGGTAGATAAGTATTACGCACACATACACGAAAAAATTGTGTTTTCTAGGACAGCTGGAAATTCTGAATTTTGCTGAAAATTTCTTTGTCTATTTTATACATGATCCTAAAATATATATATAAGAAAAAGAGAATTTTTTTTTTTTTTTTTTAGGCAAACGTAGTAGGACTAAAAGCTTTGATTACAGTTGAATAGAATTTTATTATTTGTTTGACTTTAGAAAAAAAAAAAAAAAAAGCTTTTGCTTTCTAGGTTACAGAATAGGAGAGTTTTTTGGCCGACTTAACCGATTTTCGAAACCAACTTGTAACTTGCTTTTGCCGAATTTGTGCAAAAAGTGTGTGCGGACAGACCAACATGCTTATTTCAATACAGAATTTTGTTGGTACTGCGAAAAAAAGGAAATGTACAAAATGTATTTATAATTTTAAAACAAAATTTATAATTTTAACTGAAAATTTAAAAATTGCTTAAGTAGTAGAAACAAAAACGAATTCATGCAATCGGAAAGATCTGAATATCCTTTGAAAATGGAAATATAATAGCACATGATAACACATACTAATTAAAGGCTAGAAGTTTTTCTTTGATACGCATTTTATATATTGCATTATATCATGGATTGCTTAATGTCACTTAATATCTACATTTCAATGCTTTCGAGAAGATGCTGACATGTCACCGTCGGTAGAGAATAGCACATTTTCTTCATACTTTTGCAAAGTTGATCAAAGTCTCAATGCTCTCTTTGTATTGTTATAGACATTCATATAGATATATATGCATATTGTATAAGACGATTGTACCATAAATAAGGTTATAAATGCACGTAAGCAGAAAACCTCTTTACAGATGAATAAAATTCAATATTAGCGGCAGCAGTTGTTGTTATTGTAATGGAAAATTCACTAAAGACAGAAAGTTGATTACAGTTAAAAAACAAAAACAAAAAGATTGTTAAAAATAAACACACAATCAAACATATGTTAAGATGATAGGAATCCATGGCGAATGCAGTAAAAGCAAGCAAATGAATTTATGCAAAAAGGGAAAGAATACTTAGAAAAATATTACAAAAAAAAAAAAAAAAAAAAACATAATTCAGAATTTACATGATTCCAGAGATGTTTTGCAACAACAGCTTACTTATCTACATGCACATACAACACATCATACCTTACGTTACGTTGGGTAATATAAAGAAAAACAAAAACTCGAATTTCACAATTCAAGTAACTTTAAGAATAGATAAAGAGCAAGAAAAAATAAAAACAATGCAAAATAAAATTCAAGGAAACACATCAGCAAGCATATGTTGCAACAAATAATAAAGACAACAATGGCAAAAGAAAATAATAAAAAAAAAAAAAGTGGAAGCACTAAAGAAAGAAGAACCTGCATAAAAAATCATTTTAAAGGTTGATAAAATATGAGTTTACAAAGAAATAAAAATAAAAATGAAAATGAAAACGAAAAAAAAAATAAAAAAATACAAAGTTGTAGTAAACAGGTGCATACAACAAGTTGTACGTATATCATCAACAACGAAGCCGCTTTTTTTCCGTTTTCCTCTTATTCTCTAGGAGAAGTAAGTAATACAAAAGCAATTCATGAGTAGCAATATAACAAAACAAACTAAAAATGACAACTGCACGAAGGCAGAAACAGAAGGATATATGCATACATATATGTCGCACATTTTTACAGACCTACTGACACTACTACTTAAGAGTCTGGATATAGCAACGATATTACTAAAGGGCTTAATACTATTTGTAAGCGTCTAGGTTGTTTCGCTTGCATAAACGAGGTATGCATACACTCTTAAAAACATATAAGGAAAGAATTAAATAAAAATGTATACAAATATATATATATATATATATATATATGTATATATATCTAAGAAAAATAAAGTTCAACATAACAATTGAAAACGAAACAAACTAAATGACAATTTTACGTGAATTTTTTACAAGTTGATGAGTAGATAAATACACATCAAGCATACCCCTATATACGCACTTAGACATCTTTACCAAATGACTGCACACCTAACGATACCTTCGTTTAGACATCGACTGAATATAAAATGATGTACAAATTTTATAAAACATCTCAATATATATATATCTATGTATATATATTTCTGTTTCGTTGCTTGTTAAGTAAACTGTTTGCAAAGAGGAGTGATCATCGTCAGAAAAACAACACACAACTATGTCTTCGTCATACGTCATCCTTATACTGTTTATACAGTTGTTGCAAAATAAAGCTGCTTCTCCTTGTTGCTACTGTTATGTTGTTCTTGTTGTTGTTGTTTTTTTTTTTTTTTATTCCTATTGTTTTATTCTATTTCAGGGTTATTTGTCAGTTCTTACCTTTATGTGTCAATTCTATTTATGCCGACATTGCTGTGTAAAAGTTTTTTTCTTTTTTTTTTTATCTCTTTGCCGTTCCGTCGACTTTAAAAAAAAAGAGGAAAAACAAACATCAACATTGCACAGCAATGATGAAGTAAATCAACCAAAAAAAAGAGACATTTGTTTTCTTATGTTTGTTTTCGTTCCTTTTTTTTCTTGTTTTTTTATGAGCCAAAGTAATTTACCAGTAATGTGTAACATACTTTGCAGGTTTTTTTTTTTTCCTTTTTACGTTTAAAGAGACATCTACACCCAAGTGTATGTATTGGCAGCACACAATTGTTTTTTAATGCAAAGCAGCATTAAGTTTATAATACATGTGTTTGCTTAAAAGCATATATTTTTTTCGCATTTGCATATATATGTACATGTATGTATCATTTTTCCATATGGAGAATTTAAATCAAAAGGAGAAAAATATAATGCAACTACTGAGAGTATTATTAATGAATTTAAACGTTAGAAACAAAGCATTACTCATACGTACGGAGTTTTTTGATGTTTCTTTACAAGTGTAATAAAAGCATGTATAGAAGAGTAACATCATTGTTATTACAACCTAAAAAAAGTATGTTTTTGATAATTTTCTTTAGGATGGAAGCAAAGTTATTATAAAAATAATGTTTGAGCAAATTGTTAAACATAGTACTTAAGTACTAAATAAGGAAATTAGTTATAGGAGAAGTTCGAAATTGCAAAGACAAAAAAAATTTTTTCAGGTATAAGTATTTAAAATAAAAAAAAATTTTCTAGGAAGAGATGGAAATTTTCAAGAAAAACTTATCTCCAAAGATAATAAAAACTGGTTTTAAACAATTTACGGCGGCGTCATGTTGTAACGAGTGAAAGATTTAAAGATCTAAGAATAGATAATATTTTTCATGCTTGACTTACTTATCTGAGCATAGGTGACACATAAAAAGCCATGCTTGCTGAACTTAACAATATGTGGTGAGGAGCTGTAAGAAGAAAACAAAACAAAAAAAATAAATGTAAAAAAGAGAAAACACTAAATAAAATAAGATTTAATTGTGTTTAAAATAATTAGAAAAAATAATAAAATTTTGTAACATAAATTAAATTTTTGTTGTCAATTTTTTTTAAGAAATCAAACATTTTTCCTTTGTACAGGATATTATTTAAGCTTAGGCTTACATAAAAACATATAACCGCGTACAAAGCTTAGTAAAAAATTGAATTAGCAGTTGATTTTAAATCTGCAAAGCCTAAAAATATATATGGTTGCCTGAATATGGTTTGAAAAGAGTCGTTGTGCCGAGCCGAACGTGCTGCATAAGTTGTAGCGTTAAACCGCAGAATATAATTTTAATTAAAATAAAGATTTGGTCGCATTAGAAAACTAAGATTAAAGGATTTCGTCAAGTCGCAGGATACACTATCAAATAACGAGTTCGTATGCGTAGATTAGGGAAGATATATCGAAACTTATGAAAATTACACACCGTACTGAATAGCCTAGTAAACAAGAGTTCACGTCTACCAAACCAATGTTCGCAGGTGTGAACCTTGGTGCAATTCGCTTACCCAGGCACTTAAAGCCTAACATTTACCGATTGAGCATTCAACCACTAGACTACCTACCTTTTCCTTTTTTCCTAATCCTTTTTAGCCACTAGCCCACTAAAAGTATAGGGGAATGTTTATTCCTTACAACAAAGATGTTTAAAAATGTGTTTAAGGGATAGTACGTTCAAGCCGAAAACGATAGACCAAAACACAAGGTATTTAGCTTGCTTTACGCACCAGCTTATTAAGATATAAGCTGTCATGAGCATTGACTGTCCCTTTGTTGCATATAAAAAAAAAAAAAAAAAAATGCAACAAAGGAATTATAAAAAAATCTATCCATTCTTAAGTACTGCAATAGTTTCAAGCCAATTTAGCCTTGTTTAGTTTATTAGCATATTCATTCAATAGTGAAACATTTTAATTTTTGCAAATGGAAATGAAACTTTGAATATTAAGCGTTAAACTTGTTCGTCAATCAACTATTTCATGTAATAAAAGCGATTTTTGTTAAATATTTACTTAAACAGCAAACCATTATAGTACAAGTCTTAAGATAAAGCAAATCAAAAACTGTGAAATAAAATCCCGGAAAATTGTAAGAAATGCTTTTTATTTATTTTGTGGAAGGTTTAAAAAAAAAAAAAAAGAAACAAAACAAAAAATTCCGCAAAATTGAAAATTCAGATAAAGCTTGACGTTGCATTTGAAGAAATAAGACCGCGTTTGTTATGGTAGAGTTAACAACGGTAAACAAAGCCGCTTGCTGTTGTTATTGTTTTATTGTTGTTGCTGCAAATAGACAATTCATGATAAGCAAGCAAAGTTGAAATACATTTGTTTACATTGTGAAGCGTAGAGCGTAGATCAAGAGAAATTGATATAAAACCACGAATATTGCTGCGAATATTGTATATGTTAAGAATTTATTTGTCATGTCAATAATATGCTTGTAGTTGGAATGTAGGCACGCACTTTACATGCATACGCATGTACATGTCGAGATGTATGCAAAAGGAAAGCTGACGTAACAAACAAATCCGCATTAGGAATTGGAAAAAAAAAAAACGTTGCAGCATTGTTATTCCAAGTTTGTAAAGTTGCTTTGGTTTCGAATAAGCTTTGACGATACGGTTATTTGATTTATTTACGTTATTGTTGCTATAGTTATTTAGTGCCTTGTGTCATGCAGTCAGTGGTTACTAAATGAAATATGCTTCGAATTGTTTTGCAACGCTTAACAAGAGCACAAGCAAATACACGCCTATACAATACGGCTTTACGTTTTATAGTTTGTTTGAAATGGCTGGCAACATAGCTAAACAAGCAGTAACTACAACGAGTTGATCAACTACAACGCTGCCTTGAATGTTAAACAGAGAAAAAGATATATAAAAACAAGAAAGAGAATTTTTCTCATTCGAAATGAAAAAATCCCGACAAGCAGTCAAGGAAAATTTTTCATATTAAAAAGAAAAAAATATTTTTAAAAAAATCCTCAGATTTATTAGACAATAAATACAAAAAAGAAAATAAATAAATAAATAAAAAAAAAAACAAAACGAAAAACGCGCCGCGCAAAAGCGAGAACAACGAAAACCGCGAAAAATTCAACCGGCAGGTTTGTATCTATATGTGTGTATGCCTATGTGTGTATGTGAGTGTGTTTACAATATTGAAAATAAATCCCAAGAAGCTTACAAGAAATTTAAAATTTACCAAAATTTTGGAAAAATAATAAAATGTTGATAAAAATTATTTTGAAAAAAGTGCAAAATTATGCAAAAACATATATCAAATAAAAAAAAATGCATATTACAAAATTATCACAAAAAAAAAGAAAAGATAATTTTTCTTCGATTTAAATGTTTTTTTTTTTTTTTTGTTTCTCAACATTCATTGTTGGGTATTTAACAAAATAGGAAAAAACCAAAACAATACATATTCGTAAATATTTCGGGGAAATAAACCCAAAAAAAAAAGAAAGTGTAATCAAGACAAATTAAATTTTTTGTTTTCATTTTGTTTTGATTTTCAACATTGAAAAATTTCTTGTTTGCATTTCTAACATTACAGCATATATGCGCTTTATTGTTTATACGTGTGTTCACTTTCTCACTCTCTCTGCTCCCATTAAAGTTATCAGGGGGAAATCACATGAAACGAAGTAAAAGAAACGCCAACAAAAAGGAACAGAATTAAATTTCATTTCGTTCATTCTACTGATTGCATGCTTAAGTGCGTGTTGATGTATGTGTGCATGTACATGCCTGGGAGAGACAAACAGATTGAAAGTAATATATAACTAACCAAATTCGAGTAAATCTCGTCAACTCAACTTGTCAAGAGCACAAACGGGTTTTTGTATAATATAACAAAAGATATTTGTGCCATAGCAAGAGCAGTAAAAGCAGTAGCGGCATCAGCAGCATCAACAGCAGCAGCAGCAGCAGCAGCAGCAGTAGCAATTGCAGATGCTGTAGCATAATACTCGATTTTTGGTCGAATGATATCAAGTGTCAACGTGTTAGTAGTGTCTTTAACCATTCAACCAGTTATCACAACCATCAACGCACAACGCATCTCTTGTAGCTGTACCCTCCTTAATATTTCTCTGTTCATCGTCACTTGCAACGTTTTATAACAGCAATATCCGTCGCGCCCGCCAATATTACACTGTCGGTTCATTCTTTATTTTTTTTATTTTTTTTTTTTTTTTGTGATAACCATCATCATCATTGTTCAACATCATCGTCATTGCCATGGATGATAATCGCATTTTATGGCTCAAGTGTTCAATCTCGAATTTGTTGGGTGTATATGAACCTGAAACTGTTAACGGAGCTGTCTTTCGACATAAGGACGATTTTAATACATTTCTTGAGAGCAAATATACTAAAAATAAGGATATCAATAAAGTTCTTGTATACATATGGCGTACATTTTACGACAAACTCGTCGAGGAGGAGATCACCGTCCTCGAAGAAGGTAAATAATTTCTAATTTATTATATTTATATATGTCAACACATATTGAGAGATGTTAATTAGAATTTATGAGTGATATTTAAAATATTTTAATAATTTTTCTTTGATTGCCATTTTGCAATGTTGCCGGCACCCATTGGGACCAGTTTTACGTAAGATATTGCATGATTTTAAAATGTATAAAAATTTCAAATCAATATTTTCTAAATTTATTAGTTTAGTTTTTTCTTAATTTAATAATATCATTATACATTTATAATAATGATTAGAAATAACATTCGCGTGCCAATAAGATAAAATCTTTTACGGCACAATTACAAACAATTCAACAAATGTCTCGATATGGATAATAATAATAGATAAGATCGAATCAAGGCAAAGATACGGGGTCAATTATAAACAATAAATTACTATTTATAGATTATAAAAGGTTTTAATAGCCTAAACCCTAAACAACCTCGGGCTTACAATCATTTTAATACGATGTGGTAAAGACTTTCGCGACTTTGCTGCGCTAACAGAGAATAGCCTTGATGATGCAAAATACTTATGGTCACACAGACTTACATCTAGCAAACAACATTTTTTCATATAAATATTCTAGTGTTCGTGTGTAGATGTGATCCGAATACAAAATCTTAGGCGAAAACTGCGATATTCTTTTATACTTTTGTTTTTTACAAACATATCTAGCACAGTTATTAACAAATCCTTCCAACTTATTGCTAGAAACACGATCTAAGCTACCGTAAGCGTTCACGCGATCAGATATGAAAGGCAGGACTAGACATTTGATAGTACTCCACCTTCTAAGGAATAGTGTTTTAAGCACTACCGGTAGTGATCTTGAAATAGTGTATATAAGTGTAGTTGGAAATAATGTCTAAGCCTGCCTCAGCCTGTAAGACTCACACGCATCACATGCCAATCTCTCATTATCACAAACAAAAACACATACAGAAGAGCATCAATGTTTCCTCGCACAATAATTTTTTCCGGACGATATTCAGGACTTTCGCAGTGGTATGCACGGCGATTTAATCCTAATAATAATTTACGACGTCAAGGTATCGCTAATAGCAAAAAATAAATGGACTGAACCACGCTTGTCTTCAGAATTCATAACGAAACTCCTAAATCAATGCATGGAAATTTTCTCCAATTAATTCCATTTTTTTTTTTGTTAGAAGAGCAATTTAGATCACTGAAAATAAGAGAAATTCGGCTTAAAAGACAAAATGCTTGGACGACAATTACGATGTTAAGCTTTCCTTCTTCAGACTTCAGAAGGCCAAGGCTAAGAACATTTCGTGTTGCCAAAAAGCCAAAAATCGATCTAAAAGTGATCTACGTAAGCTTTTGTAATTTAGGGTACAAAACTTAGTCACTCTGCAAAAAATTTTCAAAATATTTCTACACAATCTTTAAAAGGATTAAACAAAATA